AATAGACCACTGATTCTCTCCACTGGTTGCTAGTGGTTAAGTTTCTGGTTTAATTATATGATTCAGCAACAACCATCTCAAAATTTATGTTGTCTGGACCCACTCTATGACTTGATTCTGCTGATAGCCAACTGATATAAGTCCTACTGACTTCAATGTAATTTACTCTCAATCAGCTGCAAGACTACAGCCTAAATTCATTCACAGTAGGCTGGAAGGATTCAATTTCCTTATACATCTTTATTTAATCCTAGAACAATAGGAATTAACATATGGAATCAACCTCCTGCTCTAAAAACACCCAAGACTGGGGAGAGAAGAAGCGTCTCCATTTTGGTTTTGAAAACTTGCAAGAATATATTGCAGTTTTAACTGTTCAGAAATGAAGCTCTGGCTTGTAATTTCTGAAAGTGTCCCTGTTAATTCCCACGCAGCTAGTTGGACTTTCCACAAGGAGATATTAGTTTCTTCTACATAGTTAAGGCATTTCTGGTGTGTAACTTTCTCTAATTATAAAACTATGGGGAGATTAAGGTAGAAAAATCTAGATTTTCTTTTGTCTTTACATTTCAAAGGTTTGTATCCAGCGTTAATAAAGTATACATATTGAAAAGAATGAAACTTCAGTTGGAATAACATAGGTGATAATCCGAAGTGTGTGAATTAAATCTTCAGTGCACCTTGAGGAAAAAATGGATAATCAGGCCTCAGATTAGCGATATGGCTTATTTTATTTTCATGCAAATCACTGCTGTTTTTAAATACTTTTCTTTCAGTGCCAGTGAGATGTATGTACACAACAACTGTTTAAATAAACCTACATTCCCTAAAAAAAGGGGTTTGCTAATTTTGCTAACATCACATATTCAAGTTCCTTAAAATAAGACACTAACAATTATTGATACTTTTTCAATATTGTTTTTTATTTTTTACTTAACATTTGCTCTTTTATGTATAGGCAGTGTCCAGGCAGAATATAATTTATTAAAGATTTTCATAAACTCTAATTTATTTCTGTCATCTGCTCATTCTTTGAAAAATTGGTGTCTGGCTTTCTTAATTAAGAGGCTAGCTTTGGGGTTCGTTAAGCTGTGAGAGCTTATCTTAGTGATATCTGAAGGAAAACACTCAAGGAGAGTTTTTATTAGTAGCGTAAGCCATCAGCTATCCCAACAGTTAATGAAATACTGTAATGAAAAACTTTCAGTTTCATTTTTATATGCATGAAAGTGTTTTAACACAAATCATTGTGTTATGTGTATACTTACCCCTGTAATTTAGAGCTCCCAAGTCTAGCAGTCACTTTCATGCACTCAAGTAATACAATATATAACCAAAATATAACTATATGAGCATCACAAAGGGCTGTTTCAGATTCAGGATTTCTTCTCAAAACACTTTTTGAGAAGAAATCCTTTGCCAGTTGCATCTGGAATTTATATCTGTATTGTAACCTCAATGTATCCTTTGCCAGTTGCATCTGGAATTTATATCTGTATTGTAACCTCAATGTATCCATGCCTTAACAGAACTTCTTAATATAAAAAAGGATCTCAATTTTGGGTACTCCGAATTGAAAAGCAATACTAGAAATACTTGTACACCTTCCATACAATATGCCTCTTATTTCAGCCAAGGCATGGCTGAAACCGAGTATAATCTTGTGAAAAACAACCCTAACTTTAAACATGTACTTGCTCTCTAAAGTGTCTATTTTTAACTTTGCTATCTATACCTGCACAAATCATCTCAGTGAAACCAGCTGCTTCTTTGCATCCATGGTAGGCAATATATATCACAAGTAATGTGTGCCTATTTTATTACTGCATTGCTGCTGCCCTGCTGAACTTTGTTTTGCTTTATGTGAAACAAATAGGGTGCCATTTGAATTGGGATTGCTGGCTTGTCCCTCTGAAATTATTCCTAACTCAAGACTAAACCATTATTTGTTATCCTGGTTTACAAAGGCAACACTCCAAACTAGACATTCCTGGTTTTAGTCAGTTGTGCTGGAAGGAAGAACCAAGCAAAGCAAATTAGCATTAATGGTTCAACTCAACTGCCCAGAGAGCCTTTGGACTGATGGTCAGGGTAGAAATATAATAAATTCAATTATTTGGTCTTCCGTCTTCTCTTCTGTCCTCAACTTTCTCTAGCATGTAAGGATGTAGGAAGTAAAAGATTCACACTGAAACCAGACAAAAATGACAGCCAAAAAGTTTAAGGGGAGCCAGTGTGCTGTGCGGGGGTAAGAGTGCTGGCCTGAGAGATTTGGCTATGAAGTTCACTGAGCAACTTTGAACCAGTTACTCCCCCTCAGCCTAGCCTATCTCACAGGATTGTTGTTGAGGATAAAATAGGGCTATAGGAACCACCTTGGGTTTCTGATAAAAGAGAAGGTGGGATATACATGCAATGAAAAAATAACAAGCTTCAAAACTGATTGTGTATGAGCAGAACTAAATCAAGTGAAAGGAATAAACAATTCAGAAATGATTTTAAATTTTTATTTTAATGAAAGCATTACATTAGAAGATTGTCTTCCTGAGCTTATGTCAGAATAGGCTTTCTGCAATAATCTTATACATGTCCTCAAAAGTTCTTGCCATCTTCATCTCTGGTATTAAAAAGCCTAAATTCTCCAGTGACTTACACCCTGTGATCCAAACCACCGCAATGGGATTGCATGCCATGTAAGTCAGAGCCGACTTTAGTCTGAAGCTTTGAGCTTATTGACTCCTTCAAACATCTTGGAAGAAGATTACCCCCATGTTAATAACATACAATCCTTCTGCAATCCTTGCGGGGGATGGTTATTGCTCTTAATTCAGGCAAGCCACCTTGGAGTCCAAAGATAATTCAGAAACTAAAATTTATCCCTCTGTTGCTCAGACAAAGCTTCAACCACTGGCATGTTCCCAAGACTACTAGGAAACACCAATACCTACATCACTCCATTGCCATATAAGGAAAGTGGCTCCCATTGCAATACTAAGAACCCAGCTGAAGGTGCTGCAGTAAATATCAGGCAACAGTGACATCCCTGAAACTGTCAATGTTCTGCCTACCCAGGCAATTGTCCTTTGATGCAAGAGAGGCTTTTGTTTAAAATGGTGTGGGCTTGTTTCTCAAAACATGATGCCAGCCTCCTGATGGAAGTGTGAGCAGACAAAAGTGTGAGCAGATAAAAGTATCCTTTCTATATCCAGTTTTGAGTCCAGTCTTGAGGCACTCTTAAGTCTGAAGTGAAAGTAGGAATGACTGATTGTGTTCCTATTTTCAACAGGATTTAGGCATAATGGAAAGAGGCAGGCAACTGAGACTTTCGGAGAACTGGAAATGCTATGTCAGAGATTTTGCCTACAAGTTGTATGAATATACAATTCAAGTAAGTCAAAAATTATTTGGAAACAATACCAAAACCAAAGAAAATCTGTTTACAAGAAGCAAAAGTGAGATAAAGAGCATATAAAAAGCACTACTTCTTTCAGTGTATCAATTCTGGAGTGGTTGTGAGGAAACTATAAAAAAAGCAGTTTTGTCTGACACCTAAACGTTCTTTGGAATTAGTCCTTTTGGCGTGCAGTTCTAGACACGTTCAGACAGAAGAAGGGCCCAAAACTTCCAGCTGGCTGTAGTATGCTGGAACTGTGGGCCTTTCTTCTGCCTAAACTTGCCTAGGATTGAGTCTTTCGTGATCTAAGTGCTTAAAGTTCAGATCCAGATCCCCAATTCAATTCGCCACTAGGTCATGAAGCTGAGATCCTGGGGTACTCACTCAGCCTAACCCACCTCACAGGATTGTTCTGAGAATAAGATGGTAGGTTGGAGAAGCACCATGTATGTCACCCCGAGGTCATTGGGAGAAAGACTGAGATACACATGCAATAAATATCAAGTCGAGAGAATGCCTAAAAGAAAAAGCGATCCCCTCCCACTAACGCCCCAAACATCCTATCGATGATGTTCAGCCACTCTCCTCTCGCCGGAGCCAGCTTTGCCGAGAGCCTCATATGGTCACAATCCGGTATACTTGCTTGTGCTGCGAACACTCCCAGCCCTGTTCTTTCCTGTCGCGCGTTCTTCTACGGGGACAAGTCGGTGCGACTTAAAATAGCCGTCGCCCGAAGCGAGGCGCCTCGCCTCCAGAAGGGGACCGTGCGCGCGTGTTCTCCACAAAGAAGGGTGTGGCCACTCGCCTCGCCTCGCCTCGCCTCGATTTGGGTCGCGTCAGAAAGGGCGGCAGCCGCAGCTGCAGCTGCCGGGATCTCAGGAGCCGCGGACCTGGGATCTCATCCTCCCCTCGCTTCCTCCCTGTCGTCCAGCCGCTCTGAGGGGGGCACTTGCAGGCCGGCCATGAGGAGGGGCCAAGCGAGCAGAAGGGAACAATGCTGTGGCGGATGCCCGACAAGGTTACAAACGTGATCCCCAAACTAATCAGCCGCCTCCCTCCGCCTCCACCCTCCGGCCATATGTCTTCGAGGCAGCAGCGGGTTTAACTTTCACGCCAGGATCAAGGGCTTTCCGACACCTTATCTTTGCCTCACACCCCTTTCCCCGGCAAAGCCCCGCTCGCCATATGCTCGCGTGAGGCGAGGGCGGGGAAGAGGAAGAGCAGAACCGCGGGCCGCTTTGCTGCTGCTGCCGCTCCGTCTCATGTATCGCCCCATCCGCTCCCTTTGCAGAAGCAGCTAGTGTTCCACCCTCCCTTCCTAGCGGCATCGCGCTTGGCAAAGCCAGCCCTTAAACCCGGCCTCCGGCGCGACCCTGGGCAGGGGCGCCCTGCTCACTCCGTGAGGCATTCGGACAGCCTAAGTCCCACCCTCCGCTCCCCACCATTGGGTCTGCGGCCGAAGCGGCGTGGCGGCGATTGGTTGCGAGGGCCGTCGCTCCGCGGAGGGAGTGCGGAGAAAGCGGAGAGGCGCTTGAAGGATCCTGGGCGGGCGGCTCGCCTGTTCTCTCCCCGGCGTGTTAGGATAGGCTGTTCGTGGCCCCCTGTTTCCAGGCCAGCAGCTGCGAGAGGCGTCGCCGAAGGAGCTGCAGCAGTGCTAGCGGCCAAAGGCTTGGCTCCAGAGGAAACGGGAAAGCGAAGAGAACGGGAGAGGCCAGGGGTGCGCACGAACTTTCTTCCTAAGCAGCGGCTTGTGGGGGCGAGGCTGGAGCAGCTCCGGGGGCTGCAGGCTGGGGTTAGACGACGGCGGCGCCTCACCCTGGTCTCTTGGGAGTCGCCAGCTTAGCTCTCTCGCCTTCCTGGAGAAGGCGGTAGCAGCGGGTCCAGCCGCCGCGGAGTCGTTTGACCGCCGCTGGGAATACCCGCATACTTGGGCAGAGCGCGGCGCCGGATCCATCCTTCTCCACGGCGTTGGGCGGGCAGCGCGGATAATGCCGCGGGCGACCGGCCGGACTTTTGCCCAGACCTAATCAAGGAACCCCCTCCTGTCCAGCTCCTCCTTCTCCCCCATCCCCGGCGCAAGCCACAGAGGAGAAGAGCGGCGCTCACCGGGAAGGGAGAGAGAGAGTTCGCTTCGCCGCTTCCCCCACTCTTTTCCCCAGGTTTTGCTGGCGGCGGCGGCGGCGGCTGCGCCCGGAGATGGTGCCGGCGCCGGGATTAGCCTGAAGTGTTGCCTTCGGCTCTTTTGCTTGGGGCGGGGGGTGACTCCACCGTTAACTTCGAGCGCTGGCAGATCCAGCGTGGGACGCGCAGCAGAGTGCCTCGTCCGCCCACCCTCTTCTCCAGAAAGGTCTCCGCTGGACGGCAGTACTGTCAAGACAAAACTCCCGGCGTCTTTCCCCCTGCCTCTTAAAAGAGAACCGTGTGGATAATGTCAACCCCAAGCAGATTCAAAAAGGACAAAGAGATTGTAGCCGAGTATGAAAGTCAAGTGAAAGGTAAAAAAGCTGGGGTGGGTCAAGATGCCTGTCGTCCTCCCACTCCCCAAGCACGTGTTATGTTGTGCTGCCCTACTCATGCCGAGGACAAGAGTGCCAATCCTTGGCCGTGCATTTATTAACTCGGAGGAACCGTTAACCCTAACCCTAGCGCTCTCTCTCTCGCTCTCCCTTTGTCTGTCTGTCAGTCTGTCATGGGTAGCAATCCTGGGCGCTCTTACCCGCCCCCCCCCGCATTGATTCGAAAGGATGAAGAAAGTCTGCCTTTGTATCACTCAAACCCTTCACTAGTTGTAAATGCCCACTCTTATAAATTGCTCTGTGTGTGTGAATGGAGCGAAGACCAAACCATGTTAGGTGTTAAGTGCTCTGACTTGTAGCTGGAGAGTCATTGCAGAGTCACCCAGTTCGTGGGAGATAGAGTATGCAGTGGAAATCAGAGTGGGTGGGGAGCTGGAAGACTGGTCATTTGAATAGACTAAGCCAGCTTTTTTAAATCAGAGTTATTTCCAAGCCAGTATTAATCTGGAAGTAAGGACTCACTTGAAGTACCATAACACCCAAGTCTAATGGGATGGACCACAATTGTATTTAATTTCCTTTCACAGTCAACAGGAGTGTGTACCTCTTTACTTTTCTTTTTTGGACAGAACAACTATCGGGTGGATCCACAGGTGGCTACAGAATCTGATTTAAAGAGTGCTCATCAATGGCACCTTCTCAAACTGGGGAGAGGTAACAAATGGGGTACTGCAGTGTTCATTCCTGGGCCCAGTGCTCTTCAACATATTTATTAATGATTTGGATGAAGAAGTGCAGGGAACAATTACCAAATTTGCAGGTGACACAAAACTGGGTGGGATAGCTAATAACCCTGGAAGACAGAAAGAAAATTCAAGGAATTTTTGACAGGTTGGAGCACTGGGCTGAAAGCAACAGAATGAAATTCATTAGGGACTAATGCCAAGTACTGCACCTAGGAAAAAGAAACCAAATGCATTGTTCCAAGATGGGGAATACTTGGCTCAACAAGACTTCAAGTGAGAAGGATTTTGGGATAGTTGTAGATCGCAAGCTGAATATGAATCAACAATTTGATGTGGCTGCAAAAAGTGTAGATGCTATTTTAGACTGCATTAATAGAAAGATCAATTCTAAATCATGAAGTACTAGTTCCCCTTTACTCAGCACTGGTTAGACCTCATCTGGAATACTATGCCCAGACCTGGACACCACACTTTAAGAAAGATGCAGACAAGCTGGAAAGGGTTCAGAGGAGGGTGACAAGGATGATCCAGGGACTGGAAACAAAGCCCTATTAGGAGAGATTGCAAGAACTGGGCATGTTTAGCTTCCAAGAAGAGAAGACTGAGGGGAGGTATGATAGCACTGTGCAAGTACTTGAAAGGCTGTCACAAAGAGGAAGGCCAGGATGTCTTCTGATCATCCCCGGGTGCATGACACAGAATAACAGGCTCAAGTTACAGGAAACCAGATTCCGGCTAGATACCAGGAAAAATTTTCCTCACTGTTAGAACAGCACAACAATGGAATCAATTACCAAGGGAGGTTGTGAGCTTTCCAACACTAGAGGTATTCAAAATGCAACTGGATGGCCATCTGAGAGGGATGGTTTAATTTTTTGTCCTGCACTGAGCAGGGGATTGGACCTGATGGCCTTCTGGCCCCTTCAGACTCTACTATGATTCACTGACTTCTGTTGGGCATTAATTTGGCAGAGGAAGGTTTATAACTGGTTCTCAGCACAAAGCTGACTGAGATCATGTACCTTCTGTTTCATCAGTTAGGAATGGTAGATTTTCAAAAAAGCGTACTTTTACTGTAGAAGAGATAAAAAGACATACTAATCTGTGCCTTTTTCATATTGGACAGCCATTCTATTCTTCCATCAATTATTTCTGTGTTATGTTGATGTGTTGAAAAATATTAGCTAATGTTTCAAAGTTCAATTTTGCTGTTCTTTAGTTTAATTATATTTTGCTTCCCTGATTACCAGCCTTTGCTCTCTAGAACATGGCAGCCTTTGAATAAAAATGTCCAAAGTCTTTCTCCTCCTGATGTGCTAGGTCGGGGTAGGCAACTTCTTTGGGTCTCTTGGACATATTGGACAATTTGATCAACTGATGTGAGCACCATCACAAAATCATTGCCATGGGAGATGCCATAGCTAGTCCAAAAGAAGAAACCTGCCCAAAAGCCTGGTTAAAAGTGGGTCCTGAGCCCAGCCCATAAAGCAGCTTCTTCCTACAAGCATAAGGGGACCTGTGCTGGATCAGAGCAAGGGTCCATCTAGTCCAGTATCCCTTTCACACAGTGGCCTACAAGCTGCCCATGGCAAAACCCCATGTTAATGAATGCAGTAGCACCCTCCAGCCAGAGGGCTGGCCAGAGCTGACATGTGGCCTCTGATACAGGACGCATATAGTCATCAGGACTAGTAGCCACTGATAGCTTTCTCCATGAGTTTCTCCAGCCCCCTTTTTAAAGCTATCCAAAGTGGTGGTCATCACCACATCTTGTGGAAATCAGTCCCATAGTTAAACTGTGCTGCATGGAGAATTGCTTCCTTTTGGCTGGTGTCCATCCATCCATTCATTCATACATGCAAATACACACATGTATTTATCACCATATATGACTGTATACATACATGCCTACAAAAATGCCCCTCCTTTCTCCTCACCTCAGGTACCTGAAAAATAATCTTTTTAGAATCTCTCTCAAATTCTTCCTAGATCCTTTCTCACACACATGGAGCCTTCATCCATTCAGACATACAAGAACACATCCTTCCCTACCTTTTTGCAGGCTGGTCCTCACTAGTTTCCTCCCTGACTCACCTGTTGGGCTCCTGTTGACTTCTTCCCAACCTGTTGGCCCTCCCTAAGAAGAAAGCCTCCTGTTCTTCTTACCACACCCACTTACCTGACAGAACCCTTCATCTCCTTCTTGTTGGCTGAGGTGAAAATCATCTGCCATATTTGTTTTGTAATAATGTTTCCTAGTTCTGCATGTGGCGCAGAGAAATTAATAGGAAATGAAGGTGGTAGTGACAGGTGGCCCTCACTTTGAAGTGATCCCAGATGCCAGTAAGAAAATGTGTTATTTCTCTCAGTAGGTGCCAAGAAAGGTGGCTGGGGGCACACTGTTGCCATTGATGCATGTAATTTATTTTGTTTGCTGTGAGGTAAGGTAGGTTATATTGGAACTTCAGCTTTATCTGCGTACGTCTGCTTGTCGAGGTTTGCTTTTGATTCAGCCATCCAGGACAGATCAATATTTTTAAGAGATACCTGGCATTATATAGTTTTGGGGGGGAAATTTTTTGTTGTTACTTTGTGCTGTCAAATGGTCTCCAATTTGCGGTGATCCTATGAATGAAAGCTTTCCAAACTGTTCTATCCATGACATCCCTACTTAACTGTTCTAAATTCAAGGCAGTAGCTTCCTTTATTGAATCAATCCATCTCTTATTTGGTCTTCCTTTTCTTCTTCTGCCTTTGACTTTCTGTAGTATCTCCAGTGAGCCTTCTCTTGATGTGTGTGAAGTATGACAGCCTCATTTTTGTCATTTTTGCAAGGAATGCAAAAGTGGGATGTTATGGAGATGTCTTGTTAAACTTAAAAACCAGTGCACATGTGGTTAACTTCTCATTAAGAAGAGAATTGGCCTTTTAACTTGTATGTTCCTTCTCCATCATTCCAGGTGTAGAAGATCAGCATCACTCAAATTGTGTTGTTTTTGATGCTCTGAACACTTGTCATAAGATGTGCCAAGAATATTTTGGATAATTCAGCCTGGCTTCAGCAGTTGTCTGCTTGACTAGATCCTGTGGGTCTATATAGCTCTTGTTTGTACCATAATCTTAAAGGTGTTCTAAAGTGACCAAGTTCCATCAGTAAAAATCAAGAAGAAGGACACACAGACCAATTTTATATGTCCACACACAGTAAGGTTAAGGGTACCTTAAATACCAATGGGCCTAGAAGAACCACCATGATTAAATTGATTTTCCTTACTTTCCATAGATTCCCCCATAGGTAAATTCTGAGCTTTTGATATGAAAAATGGCTTCTAGAATTTCATAAAATAAAAGCTTAATAAACTTCTTCCCTAGTTCTTGTATATATATGTAAACTCTATTTCCAGTACTTTGGGCTATATCCAGTGTTAGTCCTATTTAGGAATAGAACCAATGAAATGATTGGGACTTAAGCTGGAGATTAACATTGGATAAAACCTAGTGCCCTGAAAAAATAAATACTAAGTAGTGCATTAGCTGCCTATTTACTACCAGGCCAATCTAATTAAAGTTGTAATGTAGTATAAAAAGCCCTAAATAACTTGGGACTTTCTCCCCCATAAGCCCATTCAATCTTTGAAAACTTTCTGGTGGTGCCACATATATTTAATTGTCACTCCACAGCAAAACTGTTTAGTGCTGCTTAATATGTGGAATATCTTCTTGCACATTAGACATGTGTCAACACCTTTTATTTTAGGCACACTTTGAAGACACATTTATTTGTTTATATAAAGGTTTTCTGTGCAGTTTTGCCTGCCATCAAATGACTGTGTAGATACAGTATATTCTGTGTACTGTTTTGTAATATTTTTATGACTTGTGTACACTGATTTGACATTTGTAGATTTAAATGTAAGTAATTATAAGTAAATAGAACAATGATATTGGAATGCAAAGTATTAAAATGGTTTTGCATATTCCTTGTTGCTATGCCAAGGAAAATCAAAATCCTTCAGCAAGAAATTCTGCATCTAAATACATTATTTAGATTAAGCAAATTGGTGCATACATTTTTGAGGGGGTTGCGTTTGCTGAATATGGGATAGAACAACAAACTGTAAAGGTATTAAAGCATTCTCTGATAACTAGCAGTCCAGCTCTACTTTTATCAAGCACCTTTAAAAACTGGAAGTATGCTAGGAAAAGTTGAAAGCGAGAAATTCTGCATCCAGC